CCCCAAAACCCCAAAACCCCAAAACCCCAAAACCCCTAGTCTATATAGAATAATTGAAGTAAAGAACCCCTCTAGATTATCACATTCTTCCACTTGTTCCTTCTTTCGTCATCGGAGAGATCAACTTCGGAGAAATGGCTGCAATCCGTGTTTGATTTCCGAAGTTCCGATTTCCTCACAGTCTCTTTGGTCTGGAATGTGTTTATGCTAAGATTCATGCTCGGTGGATTCCGAATTTCAAGACCAAACCTTTGGAAATATCTACAAGGTTTTAGGTAAGCTTACCTTGACTGAGTGAAATTTTCGCATACTTTAACTAGCTTATCAATCATTATCAGCTCCTGTTTATCAGGAGACAGACATAATAAGTTCCTGAGATTAGCCTCTAGTTCAATTGTTTTCGTTACTTTCAGGGCTTTTAATCTCTCAAAGAAATTTTCAGTGTAGATTAAGTCGATCGTCCTCTTTTTGCCCTTGTTTTTAGTACTGATAACTTTCTGTGAAAACAAGGCGTTTCCGAACATCCTCCTAATGTTTGTAATATTTTCTCTTTTACAAATATGAATGAAGCGGTTAATGATCCTGATGTCTCTACCTTTAAGGATAGAGTACTTAATGAAGTTAGTATCATCAGGTTTATGCTCTCTGGCACCAAACGTTTGCAGTAGTTCTATCAGATTGTCCACAAAGTACCATCTAAAATCAGAGCTTGTAAGCTTTAAAACTCTTTCAATAGTCGCGTAATCTTGTTCATTGTCTGGCTTGATGCCAATATTTTCTAAAGTACCGAAGAATTCATCTGGAGCAATGACTTGATGCTCGACTCCTTCAAGTGTAACATCATAAATTTTATCATTCAGAAGGTCTGTGAGTCCTAGGTCATCAATCGAATTGCCCACAAACTTAGTGTTGTAGGTCTGGCTATCCTTCTTAAACCCTCTTGTGTTATGAGTAAATCAATAGCTTGCAATTTTGGAAAAGAAGTTTTTGATACAGATTGATTCATCAGGACAAATATTTTCCTCTTTCTTAGTTCTATATAAATTATCAGAAAGCCCGCTTACTCCTCAATATCACTTTTCTGGATCAACTCATCTGTTTTGTCATAATGGGTTTCTCTCTTCATGAAATTCTGGACCTTGTCACATATATCATCCCGAGAGAACTTAGTCTTCGATAAATTTTTGCCTAGAGAGGTCTTGGATCTCAATTTTAGAGCCTTCTTTTTCTTAATAGGCTTCTTTGCGTTTTTCTGCCTCTTCTTGAAAACCTGTGCTACTTTATAAGTGACCATTATCTGTTTAATATTGTTGGCAAAGCTGATCTGGGATTGAAGCTCTCCAGAGTCTTTCTCTTTAGAACCTGTATCTTTATCAGGCTTGTCTCCATATCCAAAGTATTCGTACATAACTTCTCTGAGAGCAAAGAGGGTAATAACACTGATTGATTGGGATTTCCTAAGCAGGATTACGAACAAAGCTCTCCTATCAAAATCAAGGTCTGCAGCTTGTCAGAACAGAGTGAAATTTTTACATGTGACATGATCGGATTTTCCATTTCTGATTAAAATATTCAGTCTGTTTAGAAACAGCTCTCTTTTCTTTGGATCAGCACTTTCAAAAGTGTTCTTGAGCTTAACGAAGTCAGAATCTTTGAAACTTCTGTATTCTCCTGCGATTTCAATGATTTTCTCAAGGACTTTCCAGGTCTGGATCTGTGCAGAGTCTTGAGGGATGAAGTAATTTGCCAAAATCAGAGCGTCATCTACCTTCTCAATGTTAAGTTTCTCTAAGAGAGTTGCTAAAAACTCACTTTTGGTCATAGTGGTCTTCGACTGGAATAAATACTCATGAAGGTTATTCTCAAACACTTGTAGACAGAGCCTAAGTCTTGGCACTATGTGTCCTATTTCAATATCATCTTTAATCTTGTTGTCTATAGAGTTCTGCTGGACTTGCTCATTGATCTGATCTTCTTGGTCTTTAATAGTCACTTGTTTGTCTAACAATTCAGTCTCAAGTTGAGCTATTTTGTCTTTTTGCTTTTTAATGATCTCTTCCTGTTGCTTTATCTTCTTTTTAGCGTTTTGGAGTTCCTTATTTGGGTTGGAAAACTTAAACTCAGGCTTTGCTTGCTTATCAAAGTGAACCTTCTTCAGAATACTTATTGGATCTGTTCCTTGATTTATCATTTTTGGTTTCTTGTTTGAGACTATTACTGGCTTGCTCCTAGGAGTCAAGCCACCCGGGGAAAATGGTTTCAGCTATAAAAATATGGTTAAGAATTGTGAAAATTTAGATTAAAAGTACCTTTCGACGTCCAGTATTCAACGGTTGTTCCCAGTTGATATTTGGGTTAGTATGATTAACTTCAACTTCTTGTTTTCTACTAATTATATTATAAAATTACTCATTATCCGAATGATCCATTTGGTGATTATATTTACTCAGATTCAGATATCTACTCATTCTCTCTATTTCTTTTCTCAACAGGGCATTATCAATTTTCAGATCTTCAAGACTATATCTCAATAAACCTTCTGCATATACCTCACGCTGATGCTCTCCTTAATTTCCCTATCTTTTCGTTCAATTTCTTTCTTCAACATATTGATCTCTGATTTGGCTCATAAAATGTTGCTAAAAATCTATTTATACAAAAATCATACAGAATTTCATTCAATAATTTCAAAAAACCTACCTCATATCTCCAAAGTTGGAATTTATCCTATTCTCTTGCTTTGAGTAAAACTCAACACTGAGAGGATCCTCAATAGATGAATTCAGCGAGGAATTCACTGTAAACGGATGATTTGAGGAACTGAAAATTATCTCCGGAATCCTATGCGGTCTCTTTCTTCTAGGGATCGAAGCACCTTGGGCAAAACTTGACCTTAATTTCACCTTATTCTTTGACAAACTTCTTGAATCCACTAAGGCAAAGTCAAGAATGCAAAGGTCTGACTACTTACAGGTTTTCCTTGTCAGAGAATTATTATTCCGAGAGGTTAGAGGGATATTTAAGTTGATACGTGACTGGATTGGTTTAAACCTACGATTGCTCATTGTTAGAATAAATATAAAATTATTGACCATTCTTAAAAAGGGGTTTTGGGGTTTTGGGGTTTTGGGGTTTTGGGG